GCAGTGGGGTGTGGGGGTGGGGTGGGAGGGAGGTGGGGGTTTACGGGGCGGGGAAGAAATCACCTTCCTCCAGGGCAGCAGAGATGATTACTCAGTAGGGGTTTGTATGGAGTCTGTAACCACAGGGAATTTTCTATTAAAGTGAACGACAAATGGGAATCCCTCTGACTTTGGAGATTATAGGCACCAGTGACCAAATATTAACCTGGGAAAGGCATTGATGTGTCAGTTGGTGCTCCCAGGCAGGATTTAATATTGAACTCAATTCCTGCCTATTGATTTTATATCTGCAGAAATGTCTGGATTTCTCAAATCCAATCCAAAGGCCATTACTTGAAGCGAGCTCCCTATGTCAGACACTAAATACAGAAGATTTCCATCAGCACACAAAATCCTCAGCACACTCTCTCCAGGTCACAAAGAGAGCATGGTTGTGCTGTAACTTAGGGAATATCAAAATGAAAATCCAGATGGGTGCATAGTTAGTCTTCCTGGACAGGGCCACAGGCTGTGAGCCACTGCTGGCTGTTCCTTGGCTCAGTGTGCCTGTGTTACTTCTATGGGGGCCTTCAGGTCTGCTGCGGACTTGTCCAGGGCAGGCTTCTTTGAGTAATCTCGCTCTCCAAAAATGGTGCTTCCAATGCGGACATTCGTAGATCCTACTTCAATCTGTGGGAAAAAAGAGAAAGTATCCAGGGCTGAGTCTAAAATAATGAACAGCAGCAAATGCTGAAGTTATGCCTTCCGTTCTGGCTCTCGAGGGACCTCTGTGAGAATAATGACAATGCAACTGAGGAAGACTAAAGGGCAGTGGTTCTCTTTGGGGGCAATGTGACCTCCAAGGGGTATTTCAGAAATAAGTCAGGATTTCTTCAGCCTTCACAGTGACTGGGGAATCTGGCTGGCACTTAGCTGGGCAGGGGCGAGGGAAATCAGGCGTCCTGCAGTGTGCGGGATACAGCAGCACCATGAGGAGTTGCCTTGCATTGCACACACCTTTCTAATGTTCCCTAGTCAAGTAGATAAAAACACCTCTTTATCATTGTCTCAGCACAGAGTCTAATTCCATTTTACTTATAAACACAAAGTATTTTTGCATTGTTTTAATATACATAATTTTCTAGGAATGCAACTACTTACTGTCTATGTAGAGGGAAGTTTATGCTTTGATTTCTGGAACTCTATAGAGTTTACTGTTCCAGAAAATCACGTATTTGAGTTACCAATATAGTACACCTATATCAGTATATTTTTATAGCTGTTGCATTCATGGTGAATCTACATGTAAGATTAAGCATCAGACTACTTCATGACTTCTTGTCATATATCTATGTCCAGCATTTATATAGTGAAATGCCTTTTTAAAAAGCATAGTTTAATTTCTTCTTATTTTCCTTTAGATTCCACTTAGGGAATTATATCGAGTTTTAAAAATTATGTCTCAGGCTACAATTTCTACACATTTCATTTAAAAAAAGAAGGGGGGGGGATGTTAGAATAGTTGAGAACTACTACAATAAGGTGCTCCATTGCTCAGTGAGATTTTTCAAAGCTTTCTCAAGCAAAAACTGATTCTTGCTGTGGCCTTTTGGACCTTATCATTGAGGCAGGCAATGGTACCCAGAAGGACACTTACTGCATGCTGGAAGTCCATGGACATGCCCATGCTCAGCTCAACCTGGTCAGCAGTGATGTTCAGTTTTTTACATAGCTCTTCCCGGAGAGACAATAACATCTGACAGAAAGACAAGTGTGATACCTATTTTATTCCTGCCTCTCTAGGATGCCTGAAAGTCACCAAATCTCAACATCTCTGACAAAGATTATTTATTTCTCATGGTTTCAAGGGCTGTCGAAATTGCCAGCAGTTACTGAAAGAGTTTTTAGCAAATTCACCCTTTTAAGAAAATTACCAGAAAAAATAAAGAGCTCATTTTCTCTAAAGACTGTGTTTTAGCCAGGTTCAAAATGAGTTGAGAAAGGTCTATGAGGTTTCAGGAACATGTTTTTTCCTATTGAGAAGAGTTCAGAACAAGGTTATAATACCTGACAGGCAGCATCTGGGATATTTTTGAAGTTTACTGCAATAGCCAGCCCTGCAACAGCACTTCCCTAAGATGCTTCTTTAGCATGTGAGCAATCCCCCCATACCTGGCCCCCAGTACCTGGAAGTCTGGATTTGGTCCTTGACTAAGATCATGCCCAAAGCTTCCTATGGTCATCAGCCCCACAAATTCCAGGCTGGGGCACTTGGTATTTATGTGTTCCACCATGGCTACTGTCTCTGAAGGTAGAAGGCCATGTTTACCTTCACAAAAAGAAACAGAAGACATTTATAGCAAAATGTTTTAAGTTGCCAGAGAAAGGTTCCATTTTCATCTCTTCCTTTTAATAGAGGGGGTGACCCTCAGAGAAAAAGACCTCTGGAAAGAATTTGTCCTCAAGTCCAAAAGAGTTAACTTTATATTTGAGGTCTCTGTCTATGTTTTTCCCATTCTGGTCAGGTTCTGAATTTCTCAAGGAAGAAATACCTCAATATTTGAGCCGAAAACAGCTAGAGTAGAGGAAAAAGAAAAAATATTGCTTTTCTTGGAACACTAAGAAGATTCACATTGCCAAAATGCCAGATTAACCTAAGAATTATTTTTTCAAGTCTGGTATTTCTATAGTTTTATTAATTTATTACTAGAATTATTAAAAAAAACCCTTGAAAATTAAGTCTGTATTACACAGTTTTAACTATATATTTATAAAATTTAACTGAACTTGCTAATTAACAAGAGGAGGACTCTGAAGAAAATGATTATTTGTTATGCAGTTATAAGGATGACTGATACTGTCTTTCTTTCACTTATCAAATAGAGAAGCTAAGAATACTCACTTCAATCTTATTAGGGCAAGTTACAGCTAACTATCAAGAAATGATGTAATAGACTTATCTGGAGTCAATTTCAGATTTATCTATATTGATAATGTAATGTATAATCTGTGCATGTATATACAATAATTGTTAAAATTTACTGAATACTTACGTGCTAGGCACATGTGGCAAATTCTAAGAGCTTTTCATTTAATATAATAACTTTATGAAGTAAGTACTCTTACTATCTCCATTCTAAACATGAGGGAACTGAGGCACAGGGAAGCTTAGGACCTTTTTCAACATCGCACAACTAGGAATTGTGAAACTGAGATCTGAACCCAGGTAGCTTGACTCCAGGGCCCATCTGGAAAACAGATGCCTATACTGTGTTCCTTCATGCTAAGATTTGGTGAACACTGGTGCTCTGATGGTTGTAAGGAAATAACTGATCTGTAAACACTTATTCTTAACACATAGCTAACGAGTAAGATGTGCAGGCTTCTATGCCAACAGCCTTAGCTACATTAGCATATTCAATCCTAAAAGCACCCTCTGCAGTAAGTACTATTATGATATCATTGTCAGACAAGGAAACTGAGGTACTGAGGGGTTCGGTTACAAAGCTGCAAAGCGGTGGAGCTCCAACCCAAGGTCTGTTTGATTTCGAAGCCCACACTCTGTTCAGTGTGTTATGCTGTTAAACTGGAGCCCTAAAAGATATTCACTGACTGGTGCTCAGAGTGATTTTTTTTTTTTTTTTTTTCCTATTTTCTTCCCATGTAACACTAAATAATTTATTTTTAAAGACCTGAGAAGTATTATACATATAACTTTGCAATCTCTTTCAGGAGTGATGGTGACTTCTGGGAATTTTCAGATCAAAGTCACAATCCCTTTCTTGATTCTCCTTGTCTGTCTCCTCAAAACTTAAGAAATAACAAATTGTGAAGTAGTAAAGAACACTATATGGAGTGGTGTGGACGTCACTGTGCCACCTAGATTGTATAAAACACATCTTACTTAAAGGCCTGTGATTTCTTGCTACAACCTTAGCTATCAGTTACTCAGGCCTCCCACTCTTCCTGAGCTTCAGCCATCCTAAAGGAAGACAAATCTTCAATATAGGTCTGGTCACTTACTCTCTTCTCCACTGGTGTTAATTTGGACCATAACCTTTAACCTTTCAGAGGAACCTTTTTTCTGCCATGAACTGTTGACTTTGTCTGCCAACTTCATAGAATCCACTGTTTCCAGCATGAAGAGATTGGGGACAGCTGTAATGAGAAAGAGGCAAAGTAATTCTTCACTTATCCTACAGCAGCAAGCCACATGCGACGAATCTTTTGATAGATGGAAAAATAATTTACCGAGAAAGGAAAAAGATAGTTAAGTCTCAGTTCTGCTAAAAAGACTTATGTGAAAGCTTTACTAGATATACAAGTTCGAATTTCAGACCATGGCTGTCCAATCAGCAAAGACAAAGAAGGAGAAATGGTAACACACTACAATTATGCAGCACATGTATACATATGCTCCAAGAAGATGATAATTGTAGAGATCCCTTATAGTAGGCTTGGTCTGATTAAATCTCAGTTCAAACTGAGAGAAGCAGGTCAAGATTACAATAAACAAAGGATAACTAGTGGAAGCAAAAATGCATCTCTGGCATGACATCACCATGTTCTTACACTTTCTGGGATTGGGATGTTACAAATGAAACCATCAAGATAGTGAAAAGACAATCCATGGAATGGGAGAATATATTTGCAAATCATATATCTGACAAGGTTCTGGTACCCAGAATATATAAAGAACTTGTACTATTGAATAAAGGATAAATAACCTAGTTAAAAAATGAGCAAAGGATTTGAATATATATTTCTCCAAAGAACATATACAAACGGCCAATAAGCACATGCAAAGATGCTCAACTTCATTAGTCACTAGGGAAAATGCAAATCAAAATGACAATGAGATACCATTTCACACATTTTTATGACTCTATTTTAAATCATTTGCTGACTTACTACTATAACTTTTTGTTGTTATTAACTTATCAAAGTCTAACTTTAAGTGGTGTTATACCACTTCACATAAAGTTTAAGAATCTTAGTGTACTTCTATTTCTCCCTTTCTATTTTTAAGCTATTGTTGTCATGTATGTTGCTCTTACATATGTTATAAACCCTCCATTATTTTTGCTTATATGATAACATATTATAATAATAAAACAATAGAGAAAAGTAGATGAAATCAAAAGCTGGCTCTTTGAGAAGACTGATAAAAGTGATAAACCTCTAGCCAGATAGATTAGGAAAAAAAAAGAAAGACATAGATTACCAGTATCAGGAATGAGAGCGTTGACATCACTACAGACTCTACAGATATTAAAAGGATAATAAGGGGAATTACGAACAACCTCATATCCATAAATTCATTAATTTAAATGAAATGGACAAATTCCTTGAAAGACACTAAGTACCAAAACTCACCCAAGAAGAAACAGATTATGTGAATAGCCTTATATCTACTAATGAAATTGGAACTATAATTAAAAACCTTCCCACAAAGAAAACTCTAGGCTTCACTGGTAAAGTTTACCAAACAGGGAAGAGATAATACCAATTCTACACAAACTCTTACAAAAGGTTGAAGGAGGGAATACTTCCCAATTCATTCTATGATGCCAGCATTACCCTGATATGAAATCCAAATAAAGATATTTCAAGAAAGGAAAACTACAGACCAATGTCCCTTGTGAAAATAGATGTAAAAATCATAAGCAATATTTAACAAATCAAATGCAACATTATATTAAAAGGATAATACTTCATGACCAAGTGAACTCTACCCCAGGAATGCAGGGTTGATTTAACATTTGAAAATCAATAAATGTAATTCAATACGTTAACAACTAAAAAAGAAAAACCACATAATCATATTTAGAGTTTTATCCTACCCATCAATTTGTTGACATTTTGTTTCTGCAGGTGGCCAATGAAGTGCCATTTGATCTCAGGACATGAAGACAGAATCTGAAGAGAAAAAAGTAACCATGTTTGATTTAGATTTTATGGAGGCCTTGCTGGCTCAATGCCTTAAACACTTCCTTATGACCTTTCATGTCTATGCAGTAAACCACTATCATATCTTCACCCAGGTTCCTAAGGAGAGAGAAAAATCTAAGACTTTTGTTCTTTCTCTCCCTTGTTCCTGTCAACTCCCTCCATCTTTCAGATTTTGTCCATTAAGAATGAACAAAGTTTTCAAACCTCAAAAGGATCCAAGAGTATAGCAAGCTCTTAAAAATCACCATCTTATACCTCAAAGGAGAAAACTACCATCTTAATAAAGAAAGAAATACAGAAAGACTGGGGGCTCGTATTGGGTGAATGTAGATGTCTACTGCCAGCTCAACCTCCAGCTCTAAAACTCAACCACCAACATGGGTCTAATTGTCAACTGAAGAGCCAAGAATTAGATACAAACTCAAGAATTCAGAGATTCACTTACTTTAGGATTTGATGCTTTTTCTAGCAGTTCTTGAACCTAAAGGGTTTAAAAAGATAAGTCAGAAATCTGGCAAACGTGACTCTTCCAAAGGCAGTTTGGAAAAGGGATCTTACATAGTTCTCCCCAAAAGAGCGCTGGCCATGACTATAGGCCTCAATCACCATGTCTGCAGGTTTGGTTTTGCTGACGGCTACTAGCCGGGGCTGGATGGCCGGGAGATCCTGTGAAGAGGGAGGG